TATAATTAACAAACTTTATCCAGCCATAGAAATCAAGCTCTAAAAAATATAACTGTCATTACTCTACCATTGCAATAAAGCTCCTTACTGTAGTGGGTTTTTAATTCAGTCAAGTTTATGTCATGTCGTTTGAGGCAGTGAGAGAGAATGGGGTCATTAGCAACTGGTAGAGGCTCGGAACAGAAAGGACAAAGAGGGCGAAAGGCTTCCTCCTTCTCTTCGACCTCTTCCCAGCTCTCTTCTTCTCCTTCAGAGTCAGACATGTGTGAAAGCACTTCTTCTTTTAATTATAATTCAATTAGCAATCACCACTCCCATATTATTTTAGCCACTCCCAACAAATTTAGGCACACGTGCTTCCACGTGGGTAACTGAACGTTCTGCTTTCTTAATGTTTAATATTAATATTATAAAATAACAGTCTATATATTACCTATCTAAGAATGATTGGTGACCTCTAGAAATACAAAAGTCCTAGTGGTCTACCAAAAGCTCTAATTAAAATTATTTAAAGTGTCTCTGTGATCATTTTTCAAGCACGGCAATAGTAGAACTCAAAGCTTTCGGCATTATCAACTGCTTTATCTGGTTCATTACGGGCAAGTGCTTGACTGTCAGTAACTCCATAAGCATAATCTTCAGTGTCAGCTCCAACATGAGTCCATTCATGTGCAAGTGTTCCTTCTTTACTGGTACCACTGGTCCTGCACAAAGTAGGATCACTAACATATATAGCACACAACCAAACTGTGTCACATTGATAGCAAGTGTATGCATATGTATCACTGTCACATTCACTTCCCCTGAAGTTATATTTAACGGAATTCCTGGCAATCCTGTCCCTGCTCTTTTTGAGGACAGATTTGACTTTACGAGCATGTTTATTAGTATAAGCACCAAACCAGAGCCTGTATGTAGCGTTGTTGCCAACTTTTCTTCTTGCTCGAAGGTATTTACTGCACAACTTCTTATGGGCTTTAGTAGTAGCCTTGCGAGTTGATGACGAGCCACCAACATATGTGGCTACACTGCTGCAAGATTCAATGTAAACTTGATCGCCTTCTTCCTCAGACTCTTTATTGACTGGGCGTGAGAGAAGATTGGTGTTCTCGAGTTGAACAAAAACTGATGCATCGACTTCAATCTTGCGAGCACTTTTTATCTCGCCAGAAGCAGACTCCAGTTCCATATTTTCCTTTGATAGAATTTGCAGGGGCCTATTGTACTTTATATTGTAGGTACCATCAGAAGCGAAAGCAAAGATATCATTGATTTGAACAGTTGCAGTAACACTCTCTCCGGCCTCTAGGAGTACAAAGTCATGTTTCTTTGGAGGAGTGCAGTAGAAGAGATATCCCTTATATAGCAGTGGAACACCATCTATAGAAACAGCAACAAAAGGAGAGCGGAGTCCTTCGAGAGGAGTGTTACGCTTGAGGAGATAATAGTCTTCATCATCGTCATTTTTGAACTCAAAAGAACAATCAACAGTGGACAAAGACTGCTTACAATCCATTTTAAGGGAAACAGGCGACTGGCTAAAAAATTATAACATATTATGTATATTGTTGACTACACAATGACATACCTCATGGCATAGCCTAAGTAGGCTATAAGACAACAAAGAAGCAATATAGTCTTCATGATATCCTCTTTTCAAATATACAAGATATTTTTTGTTTTTCTATGATTCAGGACAAAACTGCTTGTGCCTTTTGTACTGTTCAGGATCTAATCCTGCCTAAATTACTGAGAATTGTATGACAGGACGAATGCTACTCAAACTTACTCACGACACTTGCAAATACACATATGCACACAGAGTTTGTAGTCAGAGTAAACCAGTAACTTTACTATAATGCTGCTGAATTCTGTTATACTACACACTACTGGCGATCTAATCCTGATGAAATTACTGAGATTTATATGACGGGACAAATGTTACTCATGACAATCACAAATACACATCTACAACTTGTAGTCAGAGTAACACAGAGTAACTGTGTAACAAGCTACTTTTGTGACTCATTTTATTTAATCACTTATGAAACAATGTTAAATCAAATTGATTTATGGTAATATTAG